TGTTTAAGCGACATCAAGTTGTTTACCACTTGAGCCAACTCTTGTTGGTTCCATACCACACTTTAGCTATTTTATATTTGAATTCTTCTATATGACCACGTAAATTATTATAATTTTCCATCCCAACCAATACAGGGAGTTGTTTGATATCATGCACGAATTGTTTGCAAACAATTTAACAAATTATTCAGTAATTAAAAGCACTCTCTTATTCAAGCTTGCAATCATAATCCCAAACATGGCCAAGGCTCAAACCGGCTCGGATTTACCGGTTTTTGAACCGGACTGTTAGCCCTTCAGGGCCGATTCTGGGTCTTAATTTTTGTTTTTGACCTGCCGGTTCTGGGCCCAGCATTTGAGAGCGCCTACCCGACCTTTTGGCACGTCTATAATCCCACTTACCATCCCTCTTCGTAGACGACGACGCTAATAAGTAAGATTTAGGACAATAAATATCTAATTTTGTTATTTCGCATTGTGATTTGTGACATCTAATATTATCAACCCATTATAACGTATCAAACGCTTTTCGTGGGCGCTCCAAGCATTGACTTGTCATAGAACAGTAGACGAACACAACTCGTCGCAAGTTAAGTTAATAGATAATAATACTTCCATTAATGCTCCTCTATACACTGTTGACACATATTAATATGTCCACCGTGTATGTGTCATGCACACATTGATAATGTTGATATGTTCAAAAAATATATCACCGATGTATACACACATAAACGGTGAACATATTAACATGTAAATACCGTGGGTAGAAGAGCATTACTCATAATACCTCCATATACAGTAGAAGAACCCAACTCGTCGCAAGTTTAGTTAATAGATAATAATACTTTCATTAATACTTTCCTAACCATGGTTAATATGTTCAAAAAATAAGCGGTGTGCATATTAAAAGGTGTTCAAAAAATAAGCGGTGGCATGCACACATTGGTGATTTTAATATGTTAAAAAAGTCATCACCGATGTATACATGTCACATAAATGGTAGACATATTAACATGTGACCACAGTAGATAGAAAAACATTATTCATAATATATTCGTATACATTAAATACCCAAAAAGTAGTACAGTATGTTTTTAATTAAAAAATACGTACGATTTATTACAAATACAATAATCAATAATTGCGGCCTAATTATGGGCGGCCATCAAAGTGGACCATCCACATGCTACATGATGAATTGGGCTTATTTATTCATCAACCCATCAAAATTATAACATAGCAATAATAATAATAATTAATAAAATTAGAATAGATGAGAAGTTGAAAACCCAACCAAATACGTCACACACCACTTCCATTTTGCTTGCTACCCGACTCAATTCCAGATTAGTCGGTTCCTTTGTGGATCCGAAAATCGGAAGATCCTTGTACCAAAAAAAAATATATATTTTTAAAGTTATTGTTAAATAAAAATTTTGATGGACTAATTAATAAGAAAAAAATAGACAGTACATAAAGTAATTAGTAAATCACAATTTATGAGAAAAATATAGGAGAAAATTATAATATATTGCTACTTGTCCAATTTTTAAGAAGGAAATTTGTAATTAAAAAAAAACAATAATAAATATTAAATGTACACTTACCAAGTTTGAAAATCATTATTTGTGTCTACACAAACATAATTCCAAAGCAAAACATTAAAATATACAAACAACATCTCGAATCATAGATTTTTGTCATGTCAACATTCGAAACGTATGAGTCTGCCACTTATACTCAAAATGTTTTGAATTTATATATAGGATGAGATTTTATCTATCAATTATTACCCAAAAATTTCCTTTCCATGCACCTAAAGAGACGTCACAAACTCCTTTTTCAATCTCCATACCTAACATTATTGTTATTATTTCATCCTCATAAGTCATAACACCTAATTCATACAACCACCCAAAAAAAAAAAAACAGAGGATCAGAAAAATTTCTTTCATGGCTAGGCTAAAAATATTCCAATTCATCGTTTTTCTAGCCCTAATATCAATTTCCGTCCGATCGGAAAATAATCCGATCGATTCGAGAAAGCTCGACGAGGTCCCTCCCGATGGAGAGAACAAGTGCGGAGGCTGTCCCTGCAACAACCCCTGCAATCCGCCATCGCCACCGCCGCCGCCGCCATCC